TCCACACAAATCACCGGCTAACCTTTGGATCCAGGTTTCAGACTTGCAAACACTTTGGGATTCTTAAGGGCAAGTGAGAGCTCATTGAGGAAGGAAATGAAGTGGGAGTCTCTTTCAGATTTCTTTGACTCAAAAATGACGACAATAGTAAAGTGAGGTTCCGGGCGGGTTAGAAAGTAGGTGCTCTGCACTTTGTCATCATAGAAGTGGACCACTTTCTCCAAGCTGTTCAGATCGGATGTGCGGTCCGTCATGATCATGATGACATTGGGCCAGTGCATGACTGGCCTGTCACTGGGCAGAGACACTACAGCTGGATACTGGTCCACACCCTTGGGGGCCTCTCTGTAGGAATGGGGGTGGTGATAGCCATGACCCTGAAAACTCTCAGAACCCCTGTTGTCAAAAATTAAGGACACATTGGCAGCATCATATTTCCTGATGAAGCTGGAAATCTTTCCAAAAAAGTCTGGGTTAGCTTTTGCTGTCAACGTTTTCATTTCTGAAGCAGTCGTTTGTCGGCTCAGGGCCTCATGAAAGTAAAAGCTAAACTTGGCAAGAAGCATGTTTTTGAGTTTCATCAGCCAAAGGAAAAGGTGTGGGGGCTGCACGGCCTTCTGAGACTGCCCTCCAAACAGATGTTTCTTTGTCTCCCGCTGTTTCTCAAAGATCTGGCCCCAGGTCTGCAGCTTGGTGTGCGCACTGTGTAAGTTAACCAGAGATGGGAGGAACTTCCACTCTGAGACCTGGGCCTGGGCTTTCAGGAGATGACACAGGACGTCAACTTCCAGCTGGAAACTGCTTTCCAAAGGACTGAGGATTGGGTGGTGAAATCTAAAGAGGAGAGGGAAATTAATAGAGATAAGTGGAAATGGTACTCCACTTGCCATACTGACATTTTTCTAACCACAGAGCAACAATATGGCCAAACAAATCATACTATGTTTGCGGACAGGGGAAGAAAAAAATGTTGATTTATTTTGAAGTTCTGATATAATTTCACCATTTCAAAATTTTATCAACATCATATTCTCCTGTGGAAATGGCCTGAGAGTAGTGGCCACTTTCTTCTCAACAGAATTACTGAATTAGCTACCATTCATTTTTTAAATTATTATTATTATTTTATTTTATTTTTTTTTTGAGACAGAGTTTTCACTCGTTACCCAGGCTGGAGTACAATGGCCGATCTCGGCTCACCGCAACCTCCGCCTCCTGGGTTCAGGCAATTCTCCTGCCTCAGCCTCCTGAGTAGCTGGGATTACAGGCATGCGCCACCATGCCCAGCTAATTTTTTGTATTTTTAGTAGAGACGGGGTTTCACCATATTGACCAGGATGGTCTCGATCTCTTGACCTCGTGATCCACCCGCCTCGGCCTCCCAAAGTGCTGGGATTACAGGCTTGAGCCACCGCGCCCGGCCCATTTTTTTAATTATTATTATTTATTTGAGACTGGATCTTGCTCTGTCACCCAGGCTGGAGTGCAACTGTGCAATTATGGCTCACTGCAGCTCAACTCCTGGGCTCAAGTGAGCCTCTCACCTCAGCATCCCAAGCAGCTGAGAATACAGGCACACACTCCATTTTCTGTTGAGACAAGGTCTCCTTATGTCACCCAGGCTGGTTTCGAACTCTAAGTGATCTTCCCACCTTGGCCTCCCTAAGTGCTGGGTTACAGGTGTGAGCCACCACACCTGGCCTAAATTAGCTATAATTCTTTCTGAGCATATTTTAGTTATTCTGGGAATTGTATGACTAACACAGTCATTGAAATAAGGCATGGTCTTTTCAGAGTGTGGTACTAAAGAGGCAGAGGTAAAACAAAAAAAGTCACTAAAACATCTGTTGAATGTGTAGATGACATATATAAACTATTTCATGTTCATGGTAATGCCATGAGGCATTAAACCTATCTCGCAGATGAGAACACATACTGTAAACATATATGTAAAACACTGTAGATAAAATAAATGTTTATTAAAGAAATACAGCACTTATCAGACAGCCCTTATTCAATCCTGGTTCCCAAATTCCCTTCATATTTAATTATGGTTAAAAACAAAATGGTGTCCAGCCTGGCCAACACAGTGAAAGCCCATCCTTACTAAAAACACAAAAATTACCCAAGCATGGTGGCACGTGCACCTGTAATCCCAGCTACCCGGGAAGCTGAGGCATGAGAATCGCTTGAACCTGGGAGGCAAGGTTACAGTGAGCTGCACACCACTGCACTCCAGCCTGGGCAACAGAGCGAGACTCTATCTCAAACAAACAAATAAACATATGGTGGCCAAGTAAGAAACAGCTAACACTTCAATCGCTTTCCATTTAACTTAGGACAAAACCCCAAATCCATAAAAAGGCCTAGAGGGCATTGAATACTGTAGTTCCTTCCCAGTTTGAGCCAACTCCTATTCTTCTCACTTTCTCCAAATATTCAACAAATAACTGAAAATGCAATTATACTACAAGAAGCTCGAGACAATAGTGCAATTTTACTTCTACGTGTCCTAGACAAAATGTATAAAAGTTTCTGACGCTTTTAACCACTGTTCTGTACAGCATTCTCATTCCAGCATTTTGGAAGGTGGAGGCAAGTGGACTGCTTGAGCCCAGGAGTTCATGAGACCAGCCTGGGAAACATGGCAAAATCCCATTCTCTACAAAACATTCAAAAATTAGTCAAGTGTGGTGCATGCACCTGTGGCCCCAGCTACTTAACTCAGAGGGCTGAGGTGGGAAGATCAACTGAGCAAAGTTGAGGCTAGTGAGCTGTGATCACACTGCTGTGCTTGACAGAGTGAGACCTTGTCTCCAAAAAAATAAGTTTTTGACTATGATCTGTAGTAAAAAATACACTTCATGTTGTGACCAAGTACCTATATGTAGAAATATTATTTTACTTCAATATTTACTGACTATATACAATGTACTCTTGATATTTTCTAATTATATATATTAAATATATATTTAATATATTTTCTACTATATATATTAAATCAGATTACTACTCACTAAATTAACTTTATAACCCATGGATTACTATCTGCTGTTGGTAAAACACTATTCTACTTCACATGTAATAGTAATATTTATAGGGAAAAGAGCATGATGTGGAACTATCCTCTCTTCCAGGCATGGGAAAAAACGTGCAGAGGCCCTAGACAAGTGAGAGCATGACCCATTTTCATCAATACTATACTCCTTCCTGATTCTTCAGGTCTCCTCGTCAGAGTCACTTTCCTAGAAAAGTTTTCTCTGTCCACTCCCAGACGAGGTCAGGCTCTCCAGTTACATCCTCTCATTTACTAATACCTCTCTCCCACTTTAGGAGCCTGACCATATAATTTCTCAGGGAAACTGAAACATACGGCCACCCCAGCTTTAAGCTCCTCCCCAAGCGGAAGTCATAGCTGCCTCCTCTATTGGCTCCTTTGTCTCTAGAACATTATGACTCAAGTAGAAATTTAGTCAATGTGTTGACCAACTATGTAAAGACCTGAATCCAAGTCTCTGCCTCATTGGATCTGCCGGCTGGTTATGAGGTGAAATAAGTTCTATAACAATGGAATAAAATGGCTAAGAAGAGTCCTTTCTGTACAGACCACATAAAGCTTTCTTGCTCAGTTTCTCTTCTGTGAAACGAATAGTGTTTCCCAGGCCTGGAACATGCTCCTTCTCCAGAAGCCGACATCAAGCCCTTACACTCTTCCTAAAGATTCACAGTACCTGCAGAGGCTGCAGAAATCACCTCAGCAAGTAATCCCACTGTAAAGGCAGGGGAAGCACTTATATTTATTAAGCACATCATACGTTCCAGACACTATGGTAGATGATCTACAGGCCTGAGGGCTTTTGATCACTTAATTGTTAATGAGATGGACGCTTCTCACACAGCTCTGATTTGGCTACTGGTGAAAAGGAAAATGCTGGTTATCAACCAAACAATTAGGAAAAAAAAATCATCTCAAGTATATCTAGGTTTTTAAAATATATATACTTAAATACTTAAAAGGATTATGGTTAGGGGAGCCCATACTAAGTTGGACATTATAAGACAGAAATGGATTATCATGTGAAATGTCATTATTCATGTGAAAAACACACATTGTTTTTCATCTATTATCTACATTTTACATCAATATTCTTTCAGCTGAGGAAGCTAAAACATTGGTAAGATTAAGTCTAATAATATACATAATCCATGGAATACTATGCAGCCAATAAAAAGGAACAAGATCATGTCCTTTGCAGGGACATCGATGAAGCTGGAAGCCATTATCCTCAGCAAACTAATGTAGGAACAGAAAATTAAACACTGTATGTTCTCACTTTTAAGTGGGAGCTGAACAATTAGAACATATGGACACAGGGAGGGGAACAACGCACGCTGGGGCCTGTTGGGGGAGGGAGGTATAGGGCAGAGCATTAGGGAAAAGAGCTAATGCATGCTGGGCTTAATACCTAGGTAATGGGTTAATAGGTGCAGCAAAACACCATGGCACACGTTTACCTATGTAACAAACCTACACATCCTGCACATGTACCCTAGAACTTAAAAAAAATGAATGAAAAAAATACATATATAAATACACAAAAAATCAGAAAGATAAACCAGATCTCAAATCTTCTAGCTCATGTGCTAAATTTAGACTTTTCAAACATTACACATTTTGGAATGAACACTAAGAAAGTTCAGGCTGGGAGCAGTGGCTCGCACCCATAATCTTAGCACTTTGGCCAAGACAGGAGGATCATTTGAAGCCCAGGAGTTCAAGACCAGCCTGGGCAATACAGTGAGATTCCTGTCTCTACAAATACTTTAAAAAAATTAGCCAGGCCTGGTGGGGTGTGCCTGTAGTCCTAGATAGTTGGGAGGCTGAAGTGGGAGGATTGCTTGAGCCTGGGAGGTTGAGGCTGCAGTGAGCCACGATCGCACCACTGCACTCCAAGTGTGGACAGCAGAGTAAGACCCTGTCTAAAACAAACAAACAAACCTCACTTCAGCAGCACATATACTTAAATTGGAATGGTACAGTGAAGATTAGCATGTCCCCTATACAAGGATAACACTTTGTTTTATATATTTAAAAAAAAGTTTTAAATGCACACATGCAAAATCCCATTATAGAATAAGTCTCAAAATCCTTGAATTGTAAGAAAGCCTCCTACCACCTTAGCCTTTAGGCCCCTTGACATTTATAAGCATTAAATATCACAATCTTCTATAATCAGGGCTATTAGGAAAATTTGCCTAAAAACTGTGAACACAGTAGGACTGTTAATCACAGGATTAACGACATGAAATTAAAGAAAATTCTAGTACAAATAACACTATTGTTATCCTTCTACTGCTTTCAGTTGGAAATCATCATTTATATCCAATGCTTCAGAGGACAAAAATTCCCTGTACGAACCTTCCAAACAAGCTCTTCCATAACATACACTAAAAGTGCTTAAATGCTCAACATTTATTAAAGATATGTGAATGTTGAAGCTATTTTTCATCCTCAAGAAGAGCTAAAAATTCATGTTAATGTTAGTCTGCCAAGACTTAGAGATTAGCATTTTGATGTATCATTTCCCTATTTCTACTCTGCCATGTGCCTCATAGCTATTCACAACTCACATTATAGGAGGCTCTGTTAAATGGTTGTAATCCAAAAATATCCACCTAAGCTACGGCAGCAAGCTTGAAAGAGTCTGAATAGTCTTAATACAGAATAAATTAACAACTATTTGCAGAGAACATCTGCTCTAAGGTAAGGAAGAAGGAAGGAAGGAAGGAAGGAAGGAAGGAAGGAAGGAAGGAAGGAAGGAAGGAAGGAAGGAAGGAAGGAATTCTCCTTAGAATAGAGGAAAGTACAAAATGAATAGATTTGTACAATATTCTAATGAAACACAAAACTCCATTTTAGAAACACTGCCTTTCTCCTTTGCAAATCTGTACCATGGAGTTCTTTCCAAAAGGTATATATTCTTATTTGTTTATTTATTTATAGGCAGGGTCTCACTGCACAGCTCACTGCAGCCTCAACCTTCCAGGTTCAAGGGATTCTCCCACCTTAGCCTCCTTAGCAGCTGGGACTACAGGCACAAACCACCACACCCAGCTAATTTTTTAATTTTTTGTAGACATAGGGTCTTGCTCTGTTGCCCAGGGTGGTCTTGAACTCCTAGCCTCAAGCAATCCTCTTGCCTTAGCCCCCCAAAGTTCTGGGATTACAGGTGTGAGCCACCAGGCCTGGTCAAAATGATACATTTTTTTTTACATGTGCAGAATGTGCAGGTTTGTTACATAGGCATATGTGTGCCATGGTGGTTTGCTGCACCCAAAATGATAAATTTTATGTTACACATATTTTACCATGACAAAACAAAATCTGTAACATCTTGTCATTTAAAATAACTTGTTTACTAATTCTTAAATACCAATACATTGAGGATATAAAAAATGAGTCACAGATTTGCCCTACTGGACCTTCCATGGCAGAAGGAGGTATTTATAATGAATACAAAGTAGAAAATAATACATTTATTATACATAAAACAACATTTCAGAAGAAGGAACAATTCCTTTTGGTCAAAAGATTGTGGAAGCCACAGAGGAGATGGTATTTGAATTGAGCCATGATGCTTAAAATAGCTAAGAGGTAGAAACAACTCAAATGTCCACTGACAAATGAATGGATAAAGAAAATGTGGTATATACACACAAACAGAGTATTACTCAGCCTAAAAAAATAAGGAAATCCTGTCACATGATACAACATGGGTGAACCTCAAGGATATTATGGTAACTGAAATAAGCCAGTCACAAAAAGACAAATACTGTATGATTCTACTTCTATGTGGTATCTAAAGCTGTCAAATTCATGGAAACAGAAAACAGAACGGTGGTTGCCTAGGGCTGGCAGAGGGGAAAACGCTGCTCAAGAAGTACAGGGTTTCAGTGTCTCGAGATGAAAACATTCTAAAGATCTACTACAAAAGACTGTGAATATACTTGACACTACAGAACTAGATACATTAAAAAGGTTAAAATGGTAAATTTGCTGGGGGCAGTGGCTCATGCCAGTAATCCCAGCACTTAGGGAGGCTGAGGTGGGCGGGTCATTTGAGCTCATGAGTTCAAGACCAGCCTGGGCATCACAGCCAAACCCCATCTCTACAAAAATATAAAAATTAGCTAGGCATGGTGATGTGCATCTGTAGTCCCAGCCACTCAGAAGGCTGAGGCATGACAGTCGCTTGAGCCCTGGAGGTGGAGACTGCAGTGAGCTAAGATTAGGCAATAGAGTCAAACCTGTCTCAAAAAAAAAAAAAAAAAAAAAAAAGATGGCAAATTTGACATTATGTGTCATTTTTTAAACCAAAATAAAAAAGCAGGGGGAAAAGAGTACGCAGGATTTTGCCATGTGAAGACGGAGGCTTGATTTTCCATCCCCAATTTTCTCTCATCCATGATTCCTCAACCTTTGCTGTGTAGCTTTGCAGCTCCTTTCCTACCCATGGAATATAGACTGGATGAAGTAACTTGCTTTGGCCAGAGATGCTAACAAAGCAGATGCAAGCAAAGGCTTAAAATGAGTTTAGCTGGGTCATACTTTTGTGCTTTGAACATTGCTACTAGGTAGCTATTTCCCCTCTAACTGTGGGCTCAGAATGAACACATATGGAGCAGACCTAAGCCTAAAGCTCACAGTTAAAAGTCAGCCCCAGTGAGACCAACAGTGTTAAGCAGAGCTACTCACATGAACCCTGCTTAGGTCAGCCAATATCCAGTAGACCTGCAAACCCACAAGCATAAATTTGGAGGTCTGTTATGCAGACTTATTGCAGCAAATAGCAAACTGATACATGATAGAACAATAAAAGGACATTCTACGCATAAAAATAATAGAAGCTGAAGCAGACAGGTAGGAAATGACAAATCCTTATGGGGAACATATTTAATATTAAACTATGGGGCTGTTTTTAGACTTCTGGTTAAAATCCTCAATGATTTCTCTTTGAAGTTTCCTTCTTTCTTTTTGAGATGGAGTCTGTCACCCAGGCTGGAGTGCAGTGGCGTGATCTCAGCTCATTGCAGCCTCCACCTCCCAGGTTCAAGTGATCCTCCTGCCTCAGCCTCTCAAGTAGTTGGGATTATAGGCACATGCCACCACACTCGACTAATTTTTGTATTTTTTAGTAGAGATGGGGTTTCGCCATGTTGGCCAGGCTGGTCTGGAACTCCTGACTGACCTCAAGTGATCCGCTCACCTTGGCCTCCCAAAGTACTGGGATTACACCACACCCGGCCCTTTGAAGTTTCTTTCTTTATACTAAGACTTTGGCAGCGATGTGGAGCATTTGATGGGAGGTAGCAGATGAATCTGAAAAGATAGGCTGAGGCAATATCATGGAAGATCTTCTTGAGTCTTCACTACTAAGATCTAAGCACGTCAAATGCCTAGGAGAGAGTGCATTCCACAGAAATTGTACTACTATTAGTCTTGCTTATGAAATTTTCATTGGGCAATAATTAATCTTGTTGAACTATACACATGCAATTAACAAATGTCTTAACAGCCTTATCATCAAAAATCTTTTTTTGATGACAAGTGGGTATAAAAGCTAAATAAACCACAGTTCTGACTTTTGTGAGAATTTTCTGAATTAAAGCATTCAGATAAAGAAACTGTGATTCCTAAAATGCAAACAGAAATATATGTAGATCAACTTTTAATGTTCCTTAAATTCTAGCTATAAAATTATTAGTAAAGAATTAAAATCACAAAATGGTTTACTACTGCCATACAATGAAGACTTTTTTAATGGTCTACAATGCATAAGTGATGGTTCTCTTCTTTCTTTAAAAGTATTATTTCTTAATATTATAGTCTTGATTTAGGAGAGTAAATATCAATTTGCATTTACAACCTATCTTCCAAATTTGTTTTAACCATGAAACAGAAAAACTGGCCAGAATTTTCCCTCATACCCACAAAATAATAAATAAATGTGTAAAAAATTCTACAGAATCAGAAAATGTTCCATTGGTGCTTCTTTGGAAAACAAAAACAAAAACCCAAGTTCTACTGTACCTCAAAAGTACTCGAGGAATAGGAGATACTCTGACAAGCTAAGTTCATGTTTCTTCTGCTAAATGGCACACAATTAAATCTATGTAATAATTATATTATTAATAAAGTTCAATTTGTTAATAATTCAATTTGAAATGTAGAATCACAAATGACTGTGATTCCTAAACAAGAACTTATATATGCTTAATAATGTTATAAATTATCCGGGCACAGTGGCTCACACCTATAATCCCAGCACTTTGGGAGGCTGAGACAGGTGGATCACCTGAGGTCAAGAGTTTGAGACCAACCTGGGCAACATGGTGAAACCCTGTCTCTACGAACTATACAAAAATTAGCTGAGCATAGTGGCAGGCAGTAATCCCAGCTACTCGGGAGGCTAAGGCAGCAGAATCACTTGAACCTGGGAGGCGGAGACTGCATGAGCCGAGATTGCGCCATTGCACTCCAGCCTGGGCAACAAGAGCGAAACTCCATCTCCAAAAAAAAAAAAGTTATAAATTTACCCAAAAAAGAAGCATTTAACACCATTCTACTGTGAACACAACTGGCTTCCAGAAGAAGAAAAACAAAATATACTTTCCATTCATCTGTGAAACCAGACTAGACATCACAATCACTCACATAGGATCTACATGTCAAATCAAGGCTGGAGGTTTCAATTCCATGCTATTTGTGATGCTTATTAATTTTTTTAATACAAAGGCATTTCAGCATTTGAAACATAGTATCAATCACAAAATTTGTTATAAGAGTTCTGACATGGATCAGCTACATTGGGGCAAATAAATATTCCCTGAAAGATAAACGGGTCCTTTGGGAAGAGGATTAACTTTTTCAATACAGGAGAATACCAAAATATGAATTATTTCTCTAGAACACTGAAACCACAAAAGAGAAATGTTTGGTACAGCACAGATGCCAAATTAAAAAGTCCATAGAAAAAAGCACATTAACCTAGCAAAAGGCAAAGTCACGTTAGTTTATACATAAAGGAATCCCACTTCCCAAAG